TAACTCCCAAAAATTTAACATTGCCTCTAACTGGAATAGGTTGCTTATCATATACAACAGATATATCGGGAACTCGCCTTTGGCGGGAAAAGATCACCACACTACTCTTGGCCACAGATAAATCGAGGCCATGATTAGTTAACCATTCTTGTAAATAATCCAAGGATGAGTTTAGACGGGAACATGCCACTGTGAAGTTGTTTAAGGAGATGTATAGAGTTAAATTGTCTGCATATTGAAGAACATTACAAAAAGAATTTACTGAAAGTTCTAAATCATGAGTATATATAGAATAAAGGAGAGGACTAAGAACTGAGCCTTGTGGAAGTCCTTTCCATATAGTTTTTGGGGGAAGCAGGAAATTTTTAACATTTATAGATATGGATCAAAAAGAGAGAAAGTTAGAGACATAATTGACTATCCTCACTGGCCACTTCCTCACTGACATTTTCTGCCTGAGCACAGGAAGAAGCACATTATCATTTACAGAAGAAATATCCAAGATAACTCCTATGAGAAATTCATGTCTTGAAAAAGCAATATGAATATCTGTGACCAAAGTACTAAGGCTATCCATGGTACTTAAACCTTTTTGGAAACCGAATTGGGTTTTAGGTAAGAGATTATTCCTTTCCAAAAACCATTCCAAGCGATTTTTTATTAAATGTTCCAAGATTTTTGCCAAAGTACAAGAAAGGGCAATAGGTCGGTAACTGGAAGGGTCATTGCTAGACTTACCTGGTATGGGCAAAATAATTTGGGTTTTCCATTCAGCAGGAGGATCACCAGTATAAATAAAATTTAAAATGGATAGTAAGACAGTTTTAGTGTTCTCACTACCATTAATTATAAACGAATAAGGAATCCCATCAATACCTGGTGAGGAGTCTTTAAGGCCATTGAGTACAGTAAACAATTCCTGAGAAGAAAAGGGGGGAATCAAATTTATCATTTGTTTTTAAAAAAGCAGAATTAAAAACTAGGCATTCATCATAAGATGGGACTGTTTGTGGTGCAAGTTTATTAGAGAATTCATCTATCCACGGTAAAGGATCATTAGAAATTATATTTTCACTAGAAACTGCACAACAGCGATATTTTTTAACATTTCTCTAGACCAAAGATGGGAGAGTCCTAGGTGACAGTGACTCACAGAATATAAACCAACCAGTTCGCTTTTTGTCTGACAGTAATTTTCAGGTTTCTGCAGCAATTTTTTTATAGGAGATATAATTCTCTGCAGTCATAGAACGGGAGTATATTAATTCAGCCTCTTTTCTCCTCCTACAAGCTGCTGAACAATCTTGATCCCACCAAGGAGGGGAAGGATAATTATTTTTGAATGGTTTTTTTAAAGGGATTGACTTATTAGCAGCAGAAATAATTGCATTTCTGAACTCTATATAATATACAAGAGCAATATTATCATTGTTAATTGGGGGAAGAGTTGAAACCTCTCGTTCCAAAACTTTAGAATATAATTGCCAATTAGCTTTGGATAGATTAATACTTTAGTCTCGGGCAAAATGTAAAATTTATTCTAGGGGAAGTAGGAGGAGTGATGAATATAGGAAAATGGTCACTGCCATAGCTAGAAGGTAATATTTGCCACAAAAGAAGGGAAGCAATATCTGGGAAACAGAGAGTTAGGTCAACGGCACTTCTAACATTTTGTAATGGGGATACTCGACAGGTAGGAGACCCGTTATTTAGAATACAGAGATTAAAATTATCAATAAGATCTAAAAATAAGGGAGCCAGTGAATCACACAGATGGGAGCCCCAAACAGTATGATGCATATTAAAATCTCCCAAAATAACCATAGGAGGTGACAGAGAAGAAATAAGTGTTGCAAGTTCTGTTAAAACATTTACATCAGGATTAGGAATGTAAACAGAGAGAATAGAGACATCAAGGGCCTTAATAGCAACAGCATTTACTGCTGGACTATGAGAATGGAGAGGAATTTGTGAAAATGTAACTGTTCTTGAAATTAAAATAAAGGTGCCAGCACAACCATCACTCCTATCATCCTGGAGGCATGCGCAGCCTGAAACCCTAAAATGAAACTCAGGCCTAAGCCATGTCTCCTGGATGGCAAGAATGAAGGGATGAAGTTTATTAATGAGGTAAATGAGTAATTTTTTTTTATTTCTAATGCTCCGACAATTCCATTGAAGAATTGGTGGGACTGCGAATATTACGGGCTAAGGAGGAAAGGTGAGTAAGTTTTTGGCCAATGGCCAGTTTTTGGCAAATGGCCAAGTCAATCTATATATTTAAAACATAAAAGACTTTTAACATTGATATAGTTACTATAAAATGTTGTTAGGTTAGCTAATTACGTAATAACTTAAAACAGAAGGACCCTTAAGTAGGAACTGAATAAATTAACCGACTTGGTTTTACGGTAGAAGAACTGAGTTGCAAGACTTGTTTTTTTTTACAAGTTATGTTTTTAATTGCATCTGTACTTTATTGTATCTTTTGATAACGCAAATCAAAAAAAGATCGATTTTTGCGAAATCGATTTGAATCTATTTAAAAATGTGTAAAATTGATCGCTAGGCCGGCCATTTTGTTGACAGTTTTTCGTTATCTCGTCATCGCTTCAGAGTTACATAATTTTGGTGAATAGTGGAATATTTGTGGCGGCGGAATACTGCAAAATATCGCAAAGATCCTTTCTTACAAATGGTGGCAGCCATAAATTATGTTTATAAATTAAAGTAGTTATAAAAGTTAATATTATGGTGTTATATTGGGTGCAATAGTGAGCGAAGCGAGTCTAGGACGTGGGGCACCCCGACTCGGACAGGTTAAGTTAGAAGGGGATAGTATAGGGTATAGGATAGCGATAAAATCCGTAAAAGAAGTTTTAATAAATTTATTTTTATTGTAATTAATTCAAAAGGCATTTCCGAAATTCAGTGTAAAAGGTTCAAGCTTAACCCTGATGAACCCACTAACTTGAAAACAACATTAAAACATCAAGTACAGGATATTTTAATGTTCATAATTCTAGACCATATCGACATATTTGCATTTCACTAACATAATTAATTCGAATTTCATTTCAGACATCTAAAAACAGTGTAATAGGTTTAAGCTTAACCCTAAAAAGCCTCCTAAACTAAAATCAAGTCCGTACACCTATAGCCAACCCCCAGAAATCTGTCAATAAATTTATATGAAGCATTCTAAGTAATATATTTTAAGAAGACTTTTGAAAGTAGTAAGAAGCTTAGCTCTAGGGGTGTACAGATAAAGAATTCCACAAGTGCACAGCAGTGTCAGTACAGGATTTCCTAAATGAGGAAGAGTGCACAAATAGTACAGAGAGAAAGATTGGCAGAAGATCGAAGGAATAGATGATGGGTAAGAAAAATATGATAGATATGGAATGGTTATTTAAGTATTGAGGAGCAGAGAAATCAAACAAAACACCCTTCAAAGCAGAGAATGTGAGTATTCCTTTGAAGAGTAGTCGGAAGCCACTTCAGCTGTTTGCAAAATGTAGATGTGATCACCATAGCACATTATAGCATAAAATAAAAGTTATGTAATTTGATATTATTTTTTGCGATTTTTGTTTCATTCAATCTAAGCAATAGTAACAATATACAAGAAACAAACTCTATTATTAATCAGATAAGACATTCAAATTATTTTATAAAAAATCAGGTTTACAGTAAACACTTTATAACTTAATGCTTGCATGAATAAAATTTAGCTATCGTATTATAACTACCATACATAACCTACTCCACATAACCTTTCAGGAAATATTTTACAGAGGTGAAAGATCGAAAACCTACAAAGCAAGGTTGTAGACAACACCGACCTTGCCTTGCCTACTTATAACTTTTTAAGCTTCGCATTATACGCATCGTACAGTAGGTAAGGTAGTTAAAGCTATACCAGGGTCAAAGACCTACTTACCCAAAATTTAGATCCGCAAAAATCATCAAGCGAAGAATTATACATCGTTTAAATCTCTGTTGTTCAAACGTTGACTTATATTTGTTTCATCGGATTAAATTAACCAAATTATCAGAATCCATTCGCCGTAATTTAAGAACCTGCACAAATTTTCTCAATCACATAACTTGATTTAAACATACAATAAAGCACTGTTACATATGCACATGGTTTAGAGATTAAAATGACTATTGACTTATTCAAAGTCAACGTTATTATTATTTTATGAACGTTACTTCTACTTCAGTCTTACACATAACACACAGAACACAATTACTCTCCACCGAGAGCTCTCACTACACAGTATCAGTAATCTACTAATCTATGGCTGTAAGAGCAAGCTAATCTATGGCTCTCACAATCTAAACCATAGAGTATCAGTGTGACCATCTCTAAAATGGCAAATCTGCCACACACTGGAAAAAAATCTGCCAAAATCTGCCGAATTGACTCCAGAAAATGCCAAAAATATGCCATCATATTGCACTGTGAGACGGGTATTTGCATAAATAAAATACTGTGCATTCAAAGGAATTTCTTTATTCTATAATATTTCATTTTTTTTTTCATTTAAGAACTTTACAACACTATTAATATTACTATACTATACAATACCTACTATTTTTCAACATTTGCTTCATACTGCTCATTTTCGTTATATACTGATTTCAACGACATCTTTTTAATCAATTCTTTCGTTGGTTTAAAAGAGATACAGTCTCCGTTTTCTTTTATACCTATTTTTGTTGTGATTAAGGCGGATACATGTTTGTTTAAGAACCTGATTTTTGTGGCGATAGACTTCTTGTCTATCTCCACAAAATATATATGTCTTATTTTGGCCATAATACCACCTTGTTCGCCAAACCTAAAGTTAGTGTGTTAAACATCGTGTCAGCCTCGAAATCAATTATATCTTTAATATCAGGGTTAGCATTAGTTAAAGCCTCGGAAAGTGGATCGAACAAAGCTTGGGCTGATTCTCCATTCAAGTCCACCAACGTTGAAAATTTTGTTTTTATCTGAAGCAGTTTTCGGAATAATATTTGGTAACAACTGCAAGCGTTAATGTGGTTGTAACATCTGTGGTCTCACCTATAGCCAAGGAAAATATTGGTGTACGATTTTTTATGTTTTTACATGATTTTAAATCGGCAAGCATCTCTGCTTCTAGATCTGGCTTAAAAATTATAGGTTGCCGCTGCTGCTTAATTCTCTTGCAGGAAAATGACTTGGCAATTTCAGAATCGTGAAAGCATTTTGAGATAATTTCGCTCAAATGATCCATTAATAGAAACGGTAAATTGTATTCCACTAGCATAGCACAAAAAATAAGTTCTGCTTTTTTGACTTTCTCTTCTAAGGTAGAGCTCTTAAAATCTGTTGCCCCTGAAATAATTTAATAATGTTTGTTAATCTAAATTTACAATGTCCAGTAAAATAATATAAGAATAAAAAATATGTTTTATTGTGAAAGACTTACCAATGATTGGCCGCTATACCCAGTCATAAGCTTCTTATGTTTTTCGGATGACACGACATGTTCTTTTAATAAAGTCAATCTTGAAACTAATTAACAATTACAAGCTTAGCAACATGCAATAACAAGATCCTCCTTAGCTCTGAAAAACCAGGACGAAAGCAAAGCATCTTGCTCCCTCACTCAGGTCGGTACGAACGCTTGTATTTTCTCTTCATCATAAAGACACAACTGGGCAAGAACGCGAAAAGTAGTACACTGCTTCAAAATTGAGCTTTAATATTTTTTTTGATAGAATTTCCTTGAATTTTTCACTTAATATTATCTCCAATAATTCCTTTTTCCGAAAATCGTAAAAGTTTTCTCCTAAAGTGGTTATTTTGTGAGAAATTTGCAAATTTCTTAAAGTAGGTTAAAATATTAATCCTGTTCGTTACCGCTGGTTTTTGGTTCATTAGTATAGTTAAAACTTAAATTGTATGCAAATATTATTTATTGAATTAAAGAAAACATGATTTTTTTATTTATAAAATGTATTTTCAGGTTGATAACTTAGAAATACACGAGATTAATCTACTTTTCCTGTCCTGTACGTTACTAAAGGTGTAAAATGTATCCAAAAGTTTTTCATAAAATTCACAAAATTAGCGGTTCTGATATTTAACTATTTTAATTTATAGTATTTTGATGAACTACGTTATTTCCTAAAATAATGTGTGTACATATTTTAAACCTTCTCAAATAAAGTCAACATTTTTAGCAACATTTGCTTAGGGTACAGTCTCGTAACAGGACATGCTAACAACGAACAGGACCCTGTAAGGTTGAGTTCACATGCCGCTTAATATTAGGATACACTTTGGGGTGGGTGGGATCTACCTCCTAGCGGTCCACCCTGGGCAACGTCAACACAATTTGTGATGGCGGTTAAAGATCCCAAAGGCAGTGGTAGGCCCTGAAAGGGGCCGCCTGGCTCGCGACCACCATCCCACCGGAGTCCGGCGCCAAGCAGCTCTGCTGTATTCTGTCGGTGTGCGGGAGTATCAGTGCCTTCTGGGCAAGCTTGCTCCATCGCAGATCCCATCTCTGCTCTAGGGCAAGATTGGGGTCAAGAGCAAGCCCATATAAAACAAAAAAATAAATAAAAAACTTTTTAAATATTTAGTATGAGATCGTTACATATAATCAATTATTTTAGTTTTAAACTAGAACTTATGAATAAAAAACGTTTAGGTAACTCGTAGAAATAAACATGGATCGATAATATTATTTTTTATTTATTTATTCTAATTCAAAAATTTACTGCCCCGTCATGCAATTTCAAAGGAGATGTATAAAATCATGTATTCGATCCATGTTTCAGTAACAAAGTTTTTATTAAAAATAAATTATAACTGCTTTTTTAGTATACATCGAAGCTAAAACTTAATTCTATCAATATGTGACTTGTAATATTTTGTACCTATTTGCTAATAAACATGTATTATCTTCATTAAACTACTATTTTTGGTGATAACGAGATAGCTCTAAATCACAATAAGCTTAGACTATTAAAGTAATATGTTCAGTCTCAGATTTATGATGTCTTAAACATTAAAACAAATAATCATTTGGACTCGATGAAAAAGACATGAATCATTTGTCTACAAAATAAACTTATCTTAAAGTCGTAGTGTGTACATAATAAAAAATAAAAAACGAAATATAAGGGCATAGTAAAGCTCTTCGAGTAGAAAAATTGCCAAATCACTTACATAAGGCAATTATCGCAAATATAATCTTTGGTGACTTCTCCCGTGGCACAGGCCAAACAAAATCGGTTACAACAAGATATACATTTAGTAATGCAATTCGAGAGGAGAGGACCATTGCAACTGTAACATGTAAATGCGCGTTTCACAATCATCTTTAATCCTTTTGATTGTTTCGGTAATCTCGTTTGTTCGGTTTTAGATTTTAAATCAACAGAAACATTACTCAAAATAGAAACTGTACTTTTTCGCAAGCTTTTTGAAGTGCATGGTTTGCTGTTATTTTTCGAGTTTATTTCTTCTTCAATACTTTTCTTCACTTTTGGTTGCGAAACACATAACACGCTGCTGCTAGACCTTTTTTTAGGCTTATAAGTAAGTTTCATCTCCAAAGGATGAATGGTTAGGTCGACAATACATGGGATCTTCCTCATAGTACTTAAATTCTCTTTAAATGAATCGGCTTGGCTAACTGCATTTGTCTGTGTGTAATCCGCGGGATGTGTAGGGGAAATATGTGGACGTTCCATTACAGTTGTTTCCTCTACAATAATCTCATCATTGGTGGTATTTTGGTCCAACATTTGAATGTCATTTACCAAGTCAGTTTTGAAAACATTCGGCTTATTATCAGCTGTAGAATTTGTGTATGAAATGTTCAGATAATCCATCACTGTTGACTCTTTAACGCTCATCTTATCTTTTGCAGTCTTTGTGTTGTCCACGACTTCAATAACAATGTCACCATTGTTTTGCGTTTTGACCTTTCCGACAGAAAGGAAGTCCACGTCATCCATCGCTGAATCGCCTTGGCTAATATTGGGCTTACCAGTGTTTCCGTTTGAACAACTATTTACCTCGTCCATCGATGAGTTGGCTTTGATAGTATTTGGTTTCGAAGAATCTCCAATGAAAGAAAAGTCCTCGTCCACATTTTCAAGCGCTGAGTTAGTTTGGTTTGGCTTTGTGAGATCACCAATTGATGAAAAGTTTACATCATTCATCGCTGACAGTTCCTCAAGGTTTATCTCAACATCCACATTCATTAAATCTGATGGTTCAATATCACCTAATGTATCAGCTGCTTCAATGCCTCTATTTTCTGTCGTAGGACATTCGAATTTGTGGATTTTTGGTTCGTAACATGAACATAAACCCCTTTGTGACCCACAAAAACATCCCAAGTCTCTGTAAGTAATAGTTCCAGGTTGTTGTGTTGCAATCTGATGTAATTGAATTGTTCCAACTACAATTGATAGCTTTTGAGGCAAAAGAGCAGCAATTTCGTCAATATCTTTCTCAGAGATATACCAAATCTTAATTGTGCACAGAGAGTCCTTTAAAACTTCAAAAGCGTCCGAAGCATTTGAAATATCTCTTCCGAAACAAACATTCCTGTCTAAAACTCTTTTCACTGTGCCTCCTATACCATCCGCCACGCCCTTACCGTGCCCACTTTCAAAAAATGACCACGTACAATGGTCCAAATTCAGTTTTTGCCTAAAAACGCTGAGCAGATAGAAATTGTTTTTTTGGCGATACTGTGAAGTAGGGCCATCGGAATAGAAGTGAATAACAGTAACTTGAGGCTGATGTTCTTTAATGTACTCAAGCACAGGTTTTAAATGGGCCCAGATTGCTTGTGGTTGGTGAACGGTGCTTGGCGACACAGTGCAAAATGATTGGGATGTGTCTTTGAAGTAGATCATGCCGGTATGTAGCGAAATCTGACATTTAGACCCACCAAAGTGCAAACTCTGAATCTCTGAGCTTAGTTTTGATTCGTAGTTCTGAGAAAAGTCACAAATGACTAAAGCTTCATTTTCTTTCAAATACGTAACGCCCTCCTGATATTTTTCTTGTTGGTGGTGTACATTGTAATTGTGTTTTTTGAATATTTTTAATTTCGCCTTATATATGCGTAATAGTTCACGCAATGTGCTTGTGATTTTGACTTTTTCTGTTTTTATGCAAACACAAGTCTTCTTTTCAGTCCCGTCCTTTTTCAAATATTCATGTCGTTTTCGCTCCCACTGAGTCCAAGTAACCATTTCGTCTAAATACATACCGGGTTCAAAGTTAAGAGGCTTATTTTTGCATGTTCTGCATTTTCCATGCATGCACAAGGGAGATTTTAGGTCACAGGATAGTTCTTGGAGTACATCTTTTATGTGTCGGTGTTCAGTTAAGCCACTCTTTCTCAAAGCTTTAAATTTCAGTTGGATATTATCGTGTTTAACGCAGAGGCAAGTGTCACGTGATGCAAGATGAGGAGCCAATACAAAAAATGGTTTGTATTTACGGAAAGTTGTTAATTTGTACCTCCCACCTTCACTCCTATATTTAACGTATAAGTTATTCAATGTGTCCAACAAATACCGGATTTGACGCTTTTCTTTGTTTTTGGATCGACATTCCTTCTTGCCAGCGGTGCAACGGCTAACATCGTCTCTGATGAAAAAATTTTCAATTTCAGTTATTCTGCCTTTAGATGTTGTTTTCTTCTTGTACTTGGTTCTTCCTGATAAACCCATTAATTTAGCTACGAAAGTTTTTACTTCAGCGTTTTCTACTATCCCTTTCAGTACTCTCTTTTCTGCTTGTTTCTTGCAATTCTTATACGTCTTTTTTAAAGCAGCTTCTAAAATTTCTTCGCGCGCTTTCATATTATCGATAGTGAGTTTCAGGTTTTTAATTATAGTTTCACTGGCATTTTTTTGTCTATACAATCTTTTTTTCAACCTCTCTTTTATTCTTTGCAGTGATTGTTCGTTTTTTTGAGATTGTTCAATTTTTTTTAATAATATGTAACACTTTTTTTTCATGTATTTCAATTTTGACTTTAAACTCGAATCTGACTCTCGACTTTTTCTGCTGAGCGAATTTTCCCTGAATGATACTCCATCCCTATCAATGTTTTCGTTGTCTTTATCTTGGTTCTCATTACTTTTGTTTATTTTTTTATTTTTTCTTTGCCTCTTTTTTTGATCTCGCCATTGTTTTCTTATTTTATCTTTATCGGCATCATCGAGTTGTGATATTTTCTTTCTTTTAGTTTTTATGCGTTGTAGGTCTTTTTTCTTCTGTTGTTCATATTTTTGGGGATTATCTTTAATTTTTTGGCGATAACGGCGCATTTTTTTCAGCTGCAGTGAGCACCATATTGAAATCTGAAATTCCATTAAGTACAATTATTTACCTGTTGAATTGATACCTAAATTAAATTGATACCTAAATTAATTTTTCAGGAAAAATGAGCCAACAACAAACAAGCCTAACAAAAAAATTCAGTAACTTTCTCTATAGAACTACAATAAAACAAAAATTAGTATCTGGAATAGCACACTTTTTCTAGCTATTTTGACTCCAAAACAAAAATAGTAGACCGATTTTGATGAAATTCTATTTGACCAATCCAGAATATAATAAATCTTAAATAAAAAATGATTTTCGAAATAACTATATAAATGAAGGAGTTCAGAGGTACCTAAAAACAATAAATAAAATAATAGAAAAAAATCAAGTTTACACCATGTAAACCTTGCTTTACGTGATCCTGTTCGTGACTTTCAAGTCCGGCCTATTTACCACCGCGATGGTAACGGACATGAGGTAACGGAATCGAGTACTTCTTATACAAAACTATAAAATTTCTACAATTGCTGATATTTATCACACATTTTTTCACATTATAGTAATCTTAAATAGTTCATGTAAGTTTTAGACATAAAATATGCGTTGGAAACACGTTATAACACCAAAAAACAAATTAATTTACTCACCGGACAGTGCCCGTAAAAACACAACCTCTCAAAAACGCCGAAAATGAAACAGCTGTTTGAATAAAATGGCTGATTTAACCATAGACATCTTTTTTTTCTTTTTTCGGTCTCATTATGATGTTGCCGTTTAAATAAAAAAAATAAATACCACATTGAACAAAAAAAACTATAAATTTAAACGAAAATGCGGTAACGGTACCTGGACATGTCCGGTAGGTTCATATGCCGGGGACAAATTTAAAAATTACTTATTTAGTAGAAATTCTAGCTTTGGCAGCACAATTAACTTAAAAAAATAATTAAAATTCCGCCAAATTTCAAATATGTAACTAAAGGTTTGCCAGTGAAATAACTTTTTTTTTCACAAAACGCTGTTAAAAATGCCGGTTTTTTTTAAGGGACAGTACTATACAACAAAATCACGATTTTTTAAACTTAAATTTTTACAATTCAGTATAATTTCATGCGTAAAATTTTAATAAATATGACATGCCTATTTCATCTAAAATCAACTAATATGGTAATGATTCTTGTAAAACTTATCAAAGTCGCACAGCAGTACGATATAACCTGGGGACATGTAGAAAAGTCCAATGTACATCTTTTCGCGTTCTTGCCCAACTGCACACATTAAACATCAAACGAGAATAAGGTGGCAGATCAGGTTATCAGATAGACAAGACAACAAACATTGATTTGAAAATCGATCAGTTATTTTTATAAGAAATTAAGCCTTATATCTGATTCTTTACCGTTCATGATCATGTGGCGTACCATAAAAATGAAATAAACGAGAAATAGAACAATATATCGTAATAAGTCGCATTTAGACTAAAATAAAATAAAGCGGTAAAGAAAATCGAATGAACACTCTTTCATACATTTCAGGCTTACGACTTTCCATAATCGATGTTAACGTTATTTTAACCTTGATGTAAACTACGAATCAATTAAAGGCGTATTTAAAAGTTTATTAATCGAAAATACTACACATACTTATAATGTACGTTTGTATCTATATTTTATTTACATTTAAAAACATTAGTTAGGCAACTTTTGTAGCAGACAACTGTGACCTTCGATCAATTATAAATATACAGTATACACGAACTTAACAACGTCCAGCACCAAATTAGGCCGCGCGCGATGAATAGCGTGTTACTTGATCAATTTTGCGTCACACGTCTACTCTCAACAGCGCTGCTGCTAGAACTAGTTATCGCTAGATATTATTTATTAATACTTAATAGCGCCAAATCGTCATAGTGCCATAGCATACTGGCGACTACTTACATAGCACGCGTTATGCGATATATTATATATATATATATATATATATATATATATATATATATATATATATTTATATATATATTACTATATATATATATTATATAGCGCTATGCGCTATATTAATCACCATTACCTATTACACTGCCCCGTATCAAGGCGTGGTCCCTAATTAGGGGAGTCAGTTATTACACTACCCTTATTTTACGCCCTTACTAAGTCCTAGGGATGGACAAGTGGAAAAAGTATATATATTCATTGAATCGATATTTTTAAACAGTATCGAAATTAACGCGTGATAAATATCGATATATCGTTATGTTTTGCATGATGTATTAGGGATAATGGCAAAATTTTTATTACAAGACGTTTTGAATACGAAAAAAAAACAAGACAATTAATAGTAAAGAAAAGAGGAAGAGAAGAAAGCTATGGGTGAAATACTATTTAAAGCTTAGGTAAAAGTAAAGTAAAGTAAAGTTACAGCCTATATACGTCCCACTGCTGAGCACAGCACTAATTTCTGAGAGGGTTTTAGGGCAAGGAAGTGTTCGCTGCGCTGCCCCAATGCGTTTTGGCGAACTTCACATGTTTTCGAAATACATTTTTTTTCTTAATTCTCAGACATGCAGGTTTCCTCACGATGTTTTCCTTCACCGCCGACACGTGGTAAATCAGCACTTAAAATTGCAATTAACAATTTCATTGGTGCCGGCGGGGATCGAACCCAGGTTACTCGCGTTCTGTTATATTTACAGCGAGCGTTAACCATCTGAGCTACCACGGCTCTTTAAAGCTTAGGTAAAATCTCTCAAATATGTGGATTATCGGAGTTCTGGACCCAAATGAATTCCGAAACACCAGGAATATGGGAAAAGGAGTTCGAAGAGCTATTAAGTTTAGTTCCTTATATCGAAAAACAAAATACGGTTTTAGGACAGAGTGTAAGTGCTAGGCAAAGATTATTTGTGACTTTAAGATTTCTAGCGTTATGTGCGCGTATTTGTTTGCGTTCTTTGTGTTTCAAAGAGCTTAGCGTTAGCTTCTACGAAAATAATTTGTTATTAAAATTTTTATTATAGCTAATTTATTTAAGAATATTAATTTGAACTATTAAATAGCTTCTTTAACACTAGACCATTCAACCCAATGGACGAGTAATACACCGAATGCTACGAACAAAAAATTCTGTCACTTTTGGTGCCTGGAAGGAAATACTACATAGACAGTAATGCACACCTACTCAATAAAATTTTGTGTCATTATGGCACACACAAATCTAAATCTCCAACACTATTATATTTTACCCACATATGTAGGTTAAATATATTATAGATTCACTTTATTTCGCTCCGAAGCTTTGCTTGTCTCGCCAAATTCAATACTGCCCCGATCACGTCTTGCAGCGCCTTTAAATTCACTTTTTACACCGAAACATTCAGAATATTCCGGTAGATACGGGCGCCGACCGACCAGATGCAGAAAGTACGAGTGCGGGGCTTCTAGAAAGCTTAATTCTTCTGTTTGATACTAGATGGCGCTGTTGGTCGAAAGTCAAGATTGACATTTACTAGGAAGCCCTCCTCGCTCTGGTCCCCGACACTAGATGGCGCTAGTGTCAGGTACCTGACGTTAACTTAGGCGCCCAACAACATCAACATAGAAAAAATTATGAGTGTAAGACAAATTAATTGCGAAGCTACCATATCAATATTTTATATCGATAGTTTCCCTAAGAAAAAGAGAAAAACACACAAGCATTAGCAGAATGCACTCAAACAATTAAAATCATCTTTTTGGTTGGTCAATGGAGTAAGTTATTTTAGAGTTCCATAGTAACACAACAAGGAACGCTTACAGTTTCGCCAAGTTCAACAGTCTGTCGGTTCATCCACGGCTTAATTACAGAGACTTCTAAAGAGGCATGGTTAAACATGGAGGCTTTCTTAATTGGGGAACTCTTGTTGTAAATTCTAACTTACTTAGAAGCTCCGGACAGTCAATATTACCATTTGCTGATTTAAAAAGATAAATCGTATTTGTTATGCGCCTACGTTCGTACATAGGCAAAATATGATTTTTTTTTACACCGCAAAATGTAATTATCGGTGTAAAATTACGTCTTAAATTGCCAGAAACGTAGAAAATGCTTTTGTACTTGCTCAATCCATCTATATAAATGAAAATAATATTCCCCAAAGTTAAGATTTTTCGCCCTAATACTACCTATAAATTAATACTCACCAAAACCTTATCGCTATGCAAGTAAAAGTTGAAATAATACTAGTTTTTACGGAATTTATCGCGTATATTTAACTTTTTAAATACCCGACGTTTCGAACGCTTTACAGCACTCATGGTCACGGGCGGGACTGAGATGTTCAACGTCCAGATGTCATAGTTAACCGCGGTTACCATAGATTAAAATTTAACTTTTGTTCCGATCTACACAGTATGAGCTCATTCTGTGTAGATCGGTATGTTCGGTTTTTTTTTTGTTGAATTTATTTAATCTAAGGACAAAAATTGTTCATTCACACTTTTATTATAATAATAGGTAATCTTCTTTAGTTGAATGTTTGATGATAACTTTTAATGCTCTTCAATGAATAATTATGAAAAATTATCGATATGGATCCGCACATCACAGTCACATCACACGTCAATATAATACCATTTCCAAATAAACACACAACTGTACAGTTGTCGCGTGGATTACAATAGTATACCACTGTAAAATAATCTCAAATTTGGATATTTCTGGAACCAAATGATTAAAAAAATGTAAATTGGCCTGTGATCTAACTTTGAAGTTAATGTGATATTTTCATATATCACATTAATTTTAAAGTTAGAAATAATATAATTTGAATGAAAAAGGACGTATAAATGGTTTTTGTTTATTAAATATGTTTAACAGTTGACTGAATGTTACCCTGTTTCATATTTATAATAAAATAAAATATAATTATATTTTAAAGCTTTCTTCTTATTTTAAATTGGACTACATACGTAAACTGCGCGACCATTTACGTTATTTTATAAGGCGCGACCGCTGCAGGGTAAAGTAGTCCCGTTACTTTATTATTTATATGTTGCTAATATAAACT